AACTCAATGTGACTGTACATTTGACCATATGTGACTGTATGTAACTACATTACATGTGACTGTATGTGCCTATATGAGACTGTATGTGACTGTATGTGACTGTATGTAACTGTATTATATGAGACTGTATGTGACTGTATGTAACTGTATTATATGAGACTGTACATGTGACTATATGTGACTGTGTGATTCTGTGACTGTATGTGACTATATGTAACTCTTTGTGACTGTACATGTGAGTTATGTGTCTGTATGTAACTATATTGGACTGCATGTGACTATATTTGACTGTATGTAACTGTATTATATTTGTCTATATGTGACTACATGTGACTGTATGTGATTCTGTGACTGTATGTGACTGCATGTAACTATATTATATGTGACTATATGTGACTGCCTGTGACTGTAAAACTGACAAATGTGTGAATGAGGATGAAGTTGCATTAACGCAGGTAACGTGCACGATCTCCCATATCCTCCTGCAAATATTGAAATAATCAGATATTTGATGTTGGGGGTCACACATTTATTGCACATCTGAACACATGAGTGATGACATATTTCACACAGGACAGCAGTGGACACTGTCCAATATGAAGACATTACGGAAGGAAATGGACTGATCACACGTTGGGGAATGTTAGCCAACCCAGGCTGTAGTGTACGTACCTATTGCACCGTCTCTGGTTCAGGATGACGATGTCGCACCAGTTCATCCCGCGTGTGTTTTTGTTAGGTTCCAATCTGAGGCTACGTGGAACCTATATGTTTTGGTTCTCAAATAATGCTGCTTGGACTCGTGATGTATAGCGTCTAGCAATGTTGTGTTGAAAGTGACGTCAGCCTGATTCACACTAGAAACAACGTGCGGCTGTAGGATTTCATAACACAAGCGTTGGACCAGGGCATATCAGTAATACCAAGGCGGTACTTTTTTATGAGTATTATAAACTGCCGGACAAAATATTTGACCACAACAGGACAGACATCATCAACACGTTACTAGGCTGAAGACAGTCATCGAAACACTGCAAGCTTATATAAGGTTCCAAACACAACCAAGATACCTGTATCAAATACATCACCATCGAATACCATTTCTTGTTTGTTTCATTAATAACCACCATCAAGCATGGGTGTATATTTTCTTTTGCACGACAGTATACTTATTTTGGTTTGCAATGACCTTTTCGACGGTCTGACCTTTCAGTATACTATTTTAGACTATCCACACAATAACTGTATTGATAAAATACTGCTAGTTCGTAGAAACAAATTGTTATGTGAATTAGAGTCACAATCCCATCACATGATTTAGGCTTCATACAATAATATCAATTGTATAAAATGAAACACTGTCACATATATAAGAAAGAAATTTTGAATTTTCTGACATTTGATTTTGGAGTCAGGCATACATTAAGCTTCACAACAGTCTTGTACAACGCGTATATAGTGGGCATCATCCACATTCACCTCTAACAACATCATTTGCAGTTGTAGATTTACACTCTGCAGGCGCTAACATGACAACATATGTACAGTTTCAATTTCTTGAAATAATTCACGATTTACACCCCATTCTGCTGCCCCATAAAGTAAAATTGGACTCGTCTTTGCGTCAAATATTTTGAAAGAATAAAAGAAACGGTAACGGTTTTAGTATTGACACACATTTAAAAACACCATATAGAATCCTTCTAGCTTGCAAGGGAACATCTTTAACATGTTTGGACCATGATATAGATTTAGTAAACGTAAATCCTAAGTATTTATATAGGTACACAAACAAGCGGGTTGTCCATCATACTTCTTCCTCCATTCTCACTCACCTTTGTCTTATCAAAATAAACACAGAAACGGTAATTGTCACAACAAGATTTTAAAGCATTGATGCGTCTTTGTAGCTCGTACACTATATCAGAAATCATGATAACACAATATGCAAATAACAATAAAAACAGGTTCAGGGTGGAACTGGCACAGGAAGCCAGTTGCTACTTCATTTGTTAAAAAAGTGAATAATAGAGGACTTAAAACACAGCCTTGTCTTTGTCCTAAAGGACACTCAAAAGTATGGGAAGTAGCTAGCAAAGCCTTTAACACATTTGTAAATAGATTGCGAAGCTCGAAGTCATTTTAAATATATTCCATAATTTGTTAACATATTCCATTATTAATTAAGTCTATATACAAGGACAATGCCTTCAAAAAGTCAACAATAATTTCATATAATTTCCACTTTGTTTGACAGGTAATGTTGGAGGACCGCTTGTAAAATATAAATATTGTCAATATTACTATAGCGTTGTAAAACCTGCGTGTGATTCCACAATATTATCTCAAGCGTTGGACCAATAAGCTAACCTATTATTTAGTACTGCTGTAAATGTCTTTCTAAAAACACTTAACAATGTTATTCCTCTGTAATTGATCGGGGAGACGAACCTTTTCCATGCAATGGAATAACTACGCCAGTGCACCGTGTAAAGTGGCCTTACTTACAGTATATTAAATACATGTTCCATATATGGTAAAAAAATGTCTTGGGCAAGTCTGAAACAATTCTGAGATTACATATTCATGCCTCATTTAAATCATGTTCAGGAGTGTCAAGTAAAGTTATAAAATGTTCAAACCACTTTTCAGTCGTTATTGGCGATTTATATGGAACTTTGAATTGTTTTAGTGTCCGACAAAACGTTTAGGCAACATGCATACAAGAAAAATAATTTATCTTTCATATTATCAATGGATAATTATTATCACAGATATATATATACTCACACGCTAAAGAAACGCAAGTGGTTTTAAGCAAATAGGTAACAAGCACGGAACCATAAATTGATACGAGTTTTAGCATTTTGTGAAGCCTGATGGTGTTATCAGTATTTTTGGTTGCATTTTGGAAGCCCCGAGTAAAAACGCAACATAAAAAACGAATCGCCAAAATGCACCATTTCAATGAATATGTGGGTATCATGCACCCATTTCTCGCGAAATCACTGTCACAAACTGTAGTGGGTATAAAACTGTGGCCGATGCTTGGACCTACCACTCCTTGGTCAACAATGCCACGCCTAACTCAAATTCAGAGAAACCAGGCTATCGGACGTTTGGAAGCTGGAGAGTCTGTCCAAGGCCGTCATTTCAACGTTAACATATCCACAATTTACCGTCTCCTGCATCGATACAGTGCTACACAGACCACAGATGAGCTTCCTCGGAGCGGTCGTCCTAGGGTCACCACACCTCAACAAGATCGACAGATTACCCGTCAACACCAGCGACATCCGTTCCTAACTGCAAGTGCTCGAAAGACCATAGGAACATATAATCGACACATTAGCCGGGACCCTGTGATTCGACGTCTCCGTACCAACAACCTCAGATGTCGCCGACCAGCACGTCGTCCTGTTCTCCAACCACGGCATCGACAAGCACGACTTCAGTGGACACAGGGTCATCAAAATTGGCGTCATCGTGAGTGGAGGCGTGTCATCTTCTCTGATGAAAGACGCTTTTGTATCTCCCATGCAGACGGAAGAGTCAGAATTTGTCGGCGTCGAGGAAATCGTTTCGCAGACAGAAACGTTGTGGAAAGGGATCCATGGGGTGGACCTAGCGTCATGATATGGGCACGGATTTGACTTAATGCGAAGCTTGGACCCATATGCTTTCTGAATGTTGGTCAAGGTCGGGGACACGGCTTCACTGCTCAACGGTATATCGACCAAGTGATCAGACCCCACGTTGCACAACATCAACAACATATTTTCCAGCAGGACAACGCTCGTCCCCGTGTTGCCAGAGCTACCATGGCCTTTCTGCAACAACACAACATCCGTGCTCTACCGTGTCCAGCCCTCAGCCCTGATCTGAACCCCATCGAACACATGTGGGATGAGGTTAAAAGGCGTCTACACAATGTGCGCCCAGTCCCTACAACTGCCGATGAACTACGGACAGCTGCTCTGGATGTGTGCAGGAGGATCCCTAGGGCCTTCACAAATCTGATCCACTCAATGTACAGGAGATGTGTGGCAGTGATTAATGCTAATGGTTGTCACACCAGGTATTGACTGACATTTTGGGTATTGACCCGAAACTGTGTAAGCCCTTAACATTTGAATTTTTTTTTATGTCATCTGCCTTTAATCCATTAAGCTGTCTTCAGTCAAATTGTTGTGAATCTTGCCATATTAGTATTTCGTGTCTCTACTGTTGAAAATAAATAACATTTATACTGCATACTCGACTTGCGTTTCTTTTGCCTGTGAGTATATATTCCGAGATTTGATGTACAATTGTAATGAGACATTACCCTTGCAACACCTAAAACATTTAAGCAGCCTGTCTCTTTTCGTCCTATAATATGAGAACATTCATTATCATTTGATTGTTAAGGATACAAGATAACTTCATCTTCATTGATTCCGCAGCGTTACATAGTGCTGGTAAATAAATGCACATAGCCATTAATTTCAACTAAAGCTTTTTCAGAACACAAGAGTCGGATTCTTCTATTGAAAAAGTCCTACAGTGGGTGGGTTCAAAGTTAGGATGATCCCGTGACTGACACGTGCACGAGATCGGCAAATGAACGGACTCGCCACATGAAACCACGCTAAAGTTGTCACATTTATAAAAAAAGGTTGCTGGATACAATAACGTAATCAATAGAGGTTGTTCCTGAATAGTCACATAATCACTAAATGTAGATGAATAGTGTGTACGATCCAACATGGCATCTTTGAATAGTTCGAGCGTGATGCCCATTTTCACTTACGATCTTTCCTAATGCATGATTGACATATTCACGCTGTTTACATTCCTTGGTGAGATCATGAACATTTATATTCAGGAAAATTCCCCGGAGCTCTGACACCGGTGACTCAATCAACAGAGGAGGTAATCGAATACTGTTGCAAGCATAGTATTATATTGGGGGAAACATATTTATTTAATTAATAATAACATGAATGTTCTTCTTTCAGACATGCATGTCCCTACACTATTGTCTCATACACATCAAGCTACGTGTGTAGTTGTCCCTGTTGGTGGTGGGGGTAGGTTTCCGTTTCTATATTTACCATTGTTTATTATCATCGAAAGGACTTTGTCGCTTTTGTGAACATGTTGCCACGGACTAACTACAGGGATAGTAATATATTTCGGGTTTCCTTGATTTTCACTTTGAAACATGGTCATGTTTATCAACAGGAACCAGCGATCAGCTTTGTCCCGAACATAGACTATAGCTAGAAGTAGTGTCCCAAAACAATGTCAAGTGATTGTGGACTATTGTCTCTCGGTGCAAACAAAGATTGGAGAGATCTTCAACCAGAGTGCATACTTTGATATTAATGCTATCAATATTCCATGTTTCAGTTGCTGTGCTCACGCATTGGTACACCAACCCATTTACACTACAGTGTACAAGTGTTGTCCCGGGTGGAGGGACGATGGAGATGAAAACTGCAATATCGGTTTGTATGGTTTTAGAAAATATGAATAGGTCAGATAAATGCATGTTCACAGTGAAAATGACTTATATGCAGATGTCATGCCATTTATGTACAAGCATGTGCTTCTGAAGTTGTTGTTGTTGTTTGTTGTTGTTTAACACCGCATTCAGCAATATTCCAACTGTATGACGGCGGTCGGTAAATAATCGAGTCTGGACCAGACAATCCAGTGATTGACATTATGAGCATCGATCCACACTATTGGGATCGATGACATGCTTCAACCAAGTCAGCGAGCCTGACCACCCGATCCTGTTAGTCGCCTCTTACGACAAGCATAGAGGCCTTTTACGGCAAGTATGGGGTGCTGAAGACCTTTTCTACCCCGGATCTTCACGGGTCGGGCTTCTGAAGTATTTCAAAATGAAGAATTAGCTCTGTTTGCTTTTCTTTTTGAAATACAGTTCTTCACTTGTTAGGTCAGTGAACACGTGGGAAAAGATTACATTTTCAGACTGATGAATGGTATGTTGTGAAATGACCTTAAAATCACAATTAGTTCACTTCGATGAAACATTACCTTTTTTGTTTTGGAGCAGTTTCCAAAAGTCATATAACAGCAACTTCACCCGTGCATTGCCTTGGCCTTACGTCGTTTAAAGGCCTGTTAAATACAATAGCCACTTTGTCGTTTCTTTTGTAAAGTACTCAATATAGAAAGTCACAATATCATACAAATGAGAGTCTGTTTGATGAGAGGACATGGGCAAGCAGGAATTGTTGCATAAAGACATGCACCATAACTTCATGAAGTTAGATGTTGCAGAAGCTGATGACATTGTGGTGAACATCATCCATAGTCAACTTCTTTCAGTGGCATTTAGAAGTTGGTGTGATGAAGTAGGACGAGTTCTATGGATGAACAACTTCTTTATTACAATTAGTGCGACGTTTCGGTGTAGTTCCTAACACCTTTATCAAGCAAGTACAATTAGTGCGACGTTTCGGTGTAGATCCTAACACCTTTATCAAGCAAGTACAATTAGTGCGACGTTTCGGTGTAGATCCTAACACCTTTATCCAGCAAGTGCTTGATAAAGGTGTTAGGATCTACACCGAAACGTCGCACTAATTGTAATAAAGAAGTTGTTCATCCATAGAACTCGTCTTACTTAATCCATAGTCAATTTCTTTCAGTGGCATTTAGAAGTTGGTGTGATGAAGTAAGACGAGTTCTATGGATGAACAACTTGCACTTGCTTGATAAAGGTGTTAGGATCTACACCGAAACGTCGCACTAATTGTAATAAAGAAGTTGTTCATCCATAGAACTCGTCTTACTTAATCCATAGTCAACTTCTTTCAGTGGCATTTAGAAGTTGGTGTGATGAAGTAAGACGAGTTCTATGGATGAACAACTTGCACTTGCTTGATAAAGGTGTTAGGATCTACACCGAAACGTCGCACTAATTGTAATAAAGAAGTTGTTCACCCATAGAACTCGTCTTACTTAATCTATAGTCAAGACGTACAATGTAGTTTCTCGCTGGTAATATTACAACACACTCTCTGCTGAATTGCTTTCAGCAATCTGCTACCCTGGGTGCAGTAATGGAGGTACATGCACGTCCCCAGGAAGGTGCAGCTGCAGGAGCGGATATACTGGAGCGACATGCATTGGACGTAAGTGGGATAGTGGTTCGTGTTGTACAATATCAACTCGATCGAAATTGTATCAGAGTATATCGTTTACTCAAAAACGTGTCCTTATCAATAAATTATACATGGTTTTTATATTGTGTAATTGTATGCAGAAAGATTTATAAACACCGTGTCGGTTTTGTTGAATTGAGCACGTTCCGCAACACTTACAAAATTCACCACGAGAAGGTCATAATCGTTTTGAAGGATTTGGTATTTAATCAATATCATTGTGTTTCCTTGAAAATTATTATACAGCAAAGATCTAAAATTAATTGTTTCCAGTCGACTGTAATAATGAGCGACCATGCTATCCAGGAGAATGCCAAAGAAATGGTGCTGCGGTTGTCTGCAACTGTATGGATGACTTCGATGGAACGTTTTGCATACGTCGTGAGTCAGTTTTGATATTTTGCCAACTGACACGTGGGCAAGGAAATATTATTGACATTTCAAAACACTGCCTTCACTTTGTCTCCATGTGTCTAATGGATAGACAATATACACACAGTTATACAGTAGTTATTACACTTACATCTTTAGAATCAATAATCGAGGACAGTTTTCTTTCTGTTCATTATGTGTGTCTTCTACACTGGTTAGTTGGTTGTTTAACGCCGCACTCAGCAATATTCCAGCTATATGACGGCGGTCTGTAAATAATCGAGCCTGGACCAGACAATCCAGTGATTGACATCATGAGCATCAAACCGTGCACTTGGGATCGATGATATGTATCAACCAAGTCAGCGAGCCTGACCACCCGATCCCGTTAGTCGCCTCTTACGACAGTCTTCTACACTGCAACAAAATAGTCCGTCACAATTAAACTAATTTAAACATATGATTAGTAAGATGTTAAATTTCTACAGGACCATCTAATTTATGTGACGCAGTTGATTGACCTAAATGATGAATTGTACTGGCACTTCAGCTAGCATATCATTGATGTGGGATGCTGCAATACACATTTGTGGACGCTTAGTTACATTGAAAGAAACTGTTTTTTCGCATTTAATACGTTCAGCATGAGTGAGTGAGTGAGTTGGGTTTAACGCCGCTTTTAACATTATTCCAGTCATATCACGGCGTGTCAGCTTAATGTGGGAGGAAAGCCCGAGGTGATGCAGGTCTCAGACGTTTACCACTCCAGATAAGATACGGATGTAAAATATTCCACAGGGTCATTCCTTAAAAATGCCTTTGCCTGAAGTCTCAGTCGCTCACATATACGTCAAGGTAGTGACAAGGAGTCAATGTTGAAAGTGTGCATTGACACATTCCAGTGAATGTATTAATATTATTGGATTCATTTGAATGATATTTCATCATACAGTAAAGGAGACCCAGGTACCTGAGGTCACACAGATACGGGCACAGTTTTCATACATGGAAGATGACGGTCAGATGAGCAAGGACATCTATAGCCTCATAGCAGATGGCACGGAGGAGAAGGAAAAGGTCATCGTATGGACAAATCGCCAACAACTGAACAAGCTGAACGTGACGGCCAGTGCTATGTTTAAAGGCAGAGATCTGCCATATCCCCCTGCTTATATCCCCGAAGCTAAGACTGGAATTGCGAGAGCATTTTTCAAATTGAGTAAGTAATCAGTAGTGATCGAATTCTTGCTGATTTTTAGCGACTGATCCATTTATATAGTGTTCACTGCTATTTTGGCTTTTACGCTTACGGCTTTTACGGTTATGATCTGACACCAGGTGTTCGCGAAAGGCATGTTAACAAAGTGAAAGTACTTTCAAGTCTAGGTTCTGTCCAGTGTTTTCCCTAGGTGTACGTACATCCATCATTCAGTGTGTTTCCTATTTCAATCACTAACTCAATCACTCACTGCAAATAGGGGCGGTCGGGTAGCCTAGTGGTTAAAGCGTTCGCTCGTCACGCCGAAGACCAGGGTTCGATTCCCGACATGGGTACAATGTGTGAAGCCCATTTCTGGTGTCCCCCGACGTGATATTGCGGGAATATTGCTGAAAGCGGCGTAAAACCATACTCACTCACTCACTCACTCACTCAGTGCAAATAAGCCAACAACCGTTCCCGCTGCCGCGTTATTATCGTTGTCTAAAATGAAGTACATTCATGTAACGTATTTATGTTTTGGCAAGGTGGCCCTGCTGTTAACTCACAAGACAAGGAACACCAATGTGATGATGCGGTTGGCTCCGAAAACCCCAAGGAAACTGTCACCTGTACCTTTACTACAAGTTACACTAATCCTTTGACAGATGGTGACAAGTAAGTCATACTGCTACATCTACAGTGGCCTTGCAGGCCTTGCAATGTGTGTGTGTGTGTGTGTGTGTGTGTGTGTGTGTGTGTGTGTGTGTGTGTGTGTGTGTGTGTGAGGTGAGGTGAGGTGAGGTGGGGTTTAACGTCGCGTCGAAGATTATTGCACTTATATAGCGACGTGCATGCACGCGTGTGTGTGCGGCTGCTTGTACTAGTCCGGACTGATGCCGATTTATAGTGCTAGCCCACTGAGATACCATGCCGCCGTTTAACATGAATACCCCACTCAGACACAGTATACTGGCTCCGAGCTGACCAGTGCTTGTTTTTGCCCCTTAATGCCGAGCGCCAGACGCGGCCGGGGATCGAACACCTTGCACTCTCCGGGCGGACGCTCTACCACTAGACCACGGAGGCTGTCATGTGTGTGTGTGTGTGTGTGTGTGTGTGTGTGTGTGTGTGTGTGTGTGTGTGTGTGTTTTGGTGGTCAACCCACTTTACCTTACTCCTCCCTTCAGTGTTAATATGTGTATGACCATAAGGACGTGACAATACATATTCCCCAAATGCCCTACATGATAACTGTACATTACACTGTTGCTCACAAGTACTTACTTTTTTTCATTGGAAATTATTTACGAGAGTTTGGCGATACCACAGCGGTACAAAGCGGAAAACATACTACTTTACTTCCGTAAATGTACCGAGTTCCGCAGTCTTGCACTGTAGTGCGATACAGAGGTAAGTAAGTTGTGAGCAGTAGTGTAGTACTACAAAGTCATGATCTGATTAAACTCATGACATTGGTAAGATACTCACAAACCGAGGGGGAAAGAGGATTCGAGGTCACGATCATTAGACCCTGGCATGCGTAAGGGACGCAACTCCACAGAATGAATTATGGTAAAAAATCCAACGTACTTTCTGAAAACCAATGCCTCTAAACAAAATATGTGTTTATCAAGGTTGACCTTGACCTTCCGAGTTTCAAGTGGTGGCTTCCGGAAGCTAGTCGGAACAGGTACTACAGCCACACAACACTATACCGGAGAGGATGCTGTCAGCACTGTAGCCTTCCACGTTGACACGGGTGAACCGGTGTACAACAGCCCCAGTGATGCTTTTCAGATTCACCCAGAATTCACAAATGTAAGACTGTTTATCGTACTCTTAACCTCACATACAGCATAAATGTATAATAATTATACCATCAGGCGAATTTCTTTTGGACTCAACATTAGTCAACCAATGTGAAAACGACCTTCAACAAAGGCATATCTGGATAAGACATTGGTTTTGTACTGAAACCATGTGACGGTAAGAATTGCCCAATGATTATAATTAATTGAAATTCGATTACATAGGAGTAATGCATGGCCTTTTGGAGAGATGGCAGTGTCTTTCTAAGCTACTAAAAACCGCATCGTTTGAAAAAAGCTAGGTAAGTGATTCAAAGATCACAGTGATGATATCGGTTGTTTTACCGCATGCTGGTTTTTATCATATAATGGGAAGGATTTCGGCAGGATAAAGCCAACCGATAAAAACGGTATCCGTTGGGGCCATTATGGATAAAGATGCAAATATGAAAGATCAGGTAGGTACTACTTTCAGTACTTACAAACAAAGGTGGCGTCGCCCTTGTCAATCGGCGACCGAATCAGAATGAACCATCGTGAGTCTGGGGAAATTACTGGGATAAGTATTATCATTATTAAAACAATAGTATAATATGCTGAAAATCAGGGGCTGACTGGGACACAGCTGAGGCATTTTACAAGGTTTGGTCACTTTAGAGATGTAAATTGTGAAACTATTTAGCCAGGATACTAGACTGACTGGCCTTGCAGGATCAGTTTCCATATCTGTGCTTGGGACCTCTGCGGCTTGGTGCCTTTTGCTCAATTTCAAATAGTTGGGTTTGGCAGAAATTTCCGAATTTCGTACTTTTTACATGTTTCGCTGTGTGTCTTACACAATATTGTGTCCTTGACCTTTGTAACCAAGTGACATTGTTAACTTTCTATTGTTAAATGAGTTCTTCAAACACTGACAATCGAAACTGGTAACTTTCGTTGATTGCAGCTAACTTTTATTGATGATTTTGAATATATAGAAATGTTTGGTTATAAAAAGCAAACAATTTCATTCAGCTTCCAAATAGTTGACTTTAAACCTTTCCATTTATTTTTTACAAAACAAACAACACATTGATTTTAAATACTTGCCAGGACTTTTGAATACAAAAATACAAAAGTCTTGATAATCATTTTCTTGTTTCAGGGAAAGGTTTGATGACATTCTGTCATCCTGTAAGGAATTGGATAAAGAAAATTTATTGTTGTGTGCTTTATATAGATGCCAGTCACCATGAAGTGGGAAGGGTGGACCGATGCTAAATCTAGAATGGACAAATACACATGGGAAGCCTTCAAACTTGAACCCACTGGGAACGGAAGCTTGACGGAAGTAGACAAATTGAGACCTTTTGTTCACAGACAAGTTGACCACACCGACCCCATCTCCAACCCTCTCCCCTATGCCCCAACAAGACCAGGGATGTACTCCTTCGTCCTTGAAGCCGTGGACAAGGCCAATAACTCTGTATACATGAGAAGGTTTGCACTGTACGACAAAGAGTCAGAAGTGACCACTGATCCAAACCATGCCCTGTTCATATCATCTGCTGTACAAGACCAGGGCTTCCAGTGGATGACCGATGCCTCCAAGCCACTAGTGATCAACTGGCAAAACCATTTTCTCAATTATGTCCATGAAAGTGGTAAATTCCTCAACAACATCCTCCCCTTCAAGGTAAAGGTTGTAGAAAATCCACCAATCTACAAGGAAGTGACGTATGAAAATGATGATCATGATGGCAGAAGAACCACAGCAGCTATCTCCAATGTACGTGGCATTGTTAGGTTTGAGTGGACACATGCTGTTAATAAGACAGGGGGTAGCACACAAGCCACACCTCCCAACTGGGATGAGATCCCTGGTCTGAACACTACAATGCAAAAAGAACTTGGTGAGTACATTATACACAGTAGGTCATCAGTTGTTCAAGATAGCTATGAAACAGCTACTTCATTTTATGCATTTTGTGTGACATTTAGACAAAGACGATGTTTTTTCTTTATGTGCATGTATCGTATGATCGATCTTGAGTCTGAACAATGCATTGGCCCTGGAAAAATACCTTCTGCGAATATTCTGTGAATTGCTTCAACTTGTTATCACATAGGGTACATCAATGTATCGTCATTCGGACCCCGACTATCCGTAACCCCGTTTTTCGTGATATTACAGAAACTCGTGATTCGTTAACACTGAATTTTGTCAATACGGACGATTTCACCTGGAGCATAGATGTCCGGATTTATGGCGTTTCGCATATTTCAGACAACGTTACCAGCGGGAGCACCGTTACTGTGTGGATAAGGGCCAGGGACGTCGTCGACAACAAGAAAGTGGACTTCACAAGAGTAACCTATGACTTGACTGAACCACAGTTCAGCAAAATGACATTCCATCAAAACGAACTATCAACCATCCCTTTCAGCTCAGGGTAAACATATTGATTAAACTATACTCTTATACATGTTTTTGCTGAATTTTATGTTGAGCGTATTGTGATATTGGCTAGTAGGGTTTGAAGGAAATGATTAAACCAGTGGAATATGCAGTCATCCTTCAGATGGAAAGCTTGTAATTAACTCTCAATCCATGATTTAACAATCTTGGAAAGAGAAACTTTGAGCTGGGTTTAACGACTCGTTGAACAGTATTAATATTATAGCAAGTCACACAATTTCACTCATGTCTCAGAAGTTTTTGTTTTTTTGTGAAACCTACCATTCTGTTTTTGAGTCTAAGGTCGTTGGATATTGGGACAGAAAAATGTCATTGGTCATTCGGGATATCTGCTTCAACCAAGTCTAGATCTCGTTCTCCGAATTGTAAATGAAGATAGTATTTTGCTTTTAATGTTCCCACTGTTCACAGGTTAGAGGTGACAATGAAAGACCAGGAGAGCGGGATTGATCACCTTGCAGTCAAAGTCACAGAGATTGGTGACGGCCATTTAATGACCCACAAGAACTTGACGATTGCTTCTATTCTGGTGAATACAGCCTTTTTAATGATGGAATCGTGAAGCTATGCATATCATAGGCGCTAACATATTATATGATAGTTGAGACATTATTGTCAAATTATTATCATATTTAATGGTGTTTGTTTTAAAAATCACGTTCTATAATGTTACGCATATTAAATTAAACATTCATGAGTCCATATATGTCCTTTCGAAACGCTGCTATATGTGCCTCGTATTCATGCTTTAAAGCTTAATATTATTCTTATTATTAGTAATTCATAAAAAAATACATTGTGGGACCAAGAACCCGTCCATCTTCTTTTTCAATTGAATGTACATAAGTGTTCATGTGATTGTAATCACTGCAGCCGCACAAATGCACGGACAGAGTACACGACTGCTACTGCCCTAACGCCCTGAACGTGTGTTACAAACGAGTGTACAAACTGTTCATCAGCAACTGCTGGCTGATGGTGGCCAAGGACGCCCTCGAGACTGCCCATGTTCAGATGGAGGTGGGCGTGGTCAACAGGGCGGGGTTGACGACACGCAGGGTGCACCCGGTGAGTACTGGAAAACATTTGAACTACAAAGAGAATAGCAGATTTGCACATTGCGAACCGGTTGATGTGCCTTTTATATTAAAGTGTTAAACAATAGAATGTCATTACTGACTGTCGTCTCAACTGGAAGCGCTCGTAAAATCTAGTTAATTAAGACCATTGTTACGTTGTGAATGCAACCAACGTAACGGTTATATAAACAGGTGGTACGAGTTGTAGTTACCACAAATCCAATCTGGTAATTCGAATAATCATTAAACTATTTCATTATCATAGATAAGGAATCTCATGCAGCTCAACGGAACAGAAGCATGTAAGTGGTACCATTATACCATTATTTAAGAATTCTACAGCGATTTAAAAATATAATACTTGACATTTCAACGCAACACCCCTCTACCCTCCCCCTTTACTTTCCATAATATTATGCATGATTAATTTTTGTGCATGACATCCTTATAAATTGTACCTTTAATACTGATTTTACACCATCTTAAAATACCATTCAAACCATCAGGGTTCCGAGTAAGAATATATAGTTTCGTTTGTTTGGTTTATTTGTTGTTTATGCCGCACTCAGCAATATTCCAGCTATATGACGACGGTCTGTAAATAATCGAGTCTAGAACAGACAATCCAGTGATTGATATCATGAGCATCGATCCACGCAATTGGGATCGACGACATGTATCGACCAAGTCAGCGAACTTTGACCACCCGATCCCGTTAGTCGCCTCTTACGACAAGCATAGTCGCCTTTTATGGCAATCATGGGTTGCTGAAGACGAATTCTACCCCGGATCTTCACGGGTCAAGTATATCTAGGTCCCCATCAACCTATGCTCGTTTTAAGACAATATGGATTGGGTGGTCAATCACCGTTGCTTGGTTGAATGCATGTCATCGAATCCTAGTTGTGTGGATCTATTCCCATGGCAATCAATGAATCGTCTCATCCAGACTCTATTATTTACATACGGCTGGAATACAGCCCTGAATCCGGCGTGAAATAACCAACAGACAAAATTATTCCACCCTTCATTAAATATTACAATTCAGACAGTGCTGGTAAAATTGGTGTCACACTCTTGTCTAATATAATTTGGACCATACTTGAGATTAGAAATACGACTCTCTTGGACTTTTTGTGACGTTTGCCGGGCCTTTTTTTCTAGTCTTCGGCCTTGAGAATGTGAAAACAGAGAGGGTGAGGGACACAACGGTGCGTGTTACCTGGGACCACGCCCCAAGCTGTTACGAGAGGACCGCCATCTTGGTCAGCTACGAGTGGGACTCGGGAGCGTCTGATCCTGTGCGGGTCTTCAAAGACGCTAAATCTTACGACATCGTAGGCCTTGAGCCCGGCACCAAATACAGAGTCTCTGTAACAGCAGAGTATGGAGACATTAAGAGTGTACCAAAATCATCATATTTCACCACATGTAAGTTCTATTCTGATTTCGTTCTAAATGTTTCAACACACAAAAATAACGTCGTCCAATACTCGACGTCTGCGTGTTGCAAGCGCATATTCGAATCTCCAGAAATGAATCATGATAACACAATATATTATCGTGAAATAATCCACACTTCGTTCTCCATTGTTCTTTGCGATTTATCGCGTAGCTATGTTATATCATAAGAACGACTCTCTTCTTAAGTAGAATTACGCCAGACATCAAAGGGCGACAACTATAAGGGAGATAACTCCAGCGAACAAGATGCAACTCCTATTACATATTGCGTTTTTACACGTTACATCATGCCATTCAAATGTTTGAATTGTGCACTTACAGCGGATCTGTCAGGCATTGGTGCAGGCGCTGTAGCAGGAATTGTTATAGGTATGAGCAGCTGTTCATGATTAAATTACTATAATAAAAAAATAAAAATATATAAATATTTATTGAAGATGAAAGGCAAGATCAGCTTATTTGCCAGGTGATAAGGTCAACAGGCTTTATTTCGCAGCCATGAAGGAACTGGTTAGGCAAAGAAAGATAACTCTTCCTTGAAATTCTGGGACAAAGACAAACACTTCTGAACACAAAATGCTCTGGCACCTTAAATGGCCAGAACTGTGCTGAGAAACATTTGTGAGATAAATTTAACTAAACTGTTTTATTCCATATTTTGGATCGTTTACTTTCCTTGAGTAATGCCTCTGACAACATGTATTCCCCAGCGCTTCTCCTTATACTTGTTGTGCTGGGAGCTGTGTTCCTGCTGTGGAGGACCGGCAGGCTGGCGGTGCTCATCAAGCAACGTGAGAACAGACAAAGTCGACGTGAAGGAAACGTGACTGGGAGGATCACCAACAATCTTGGAACTTCAAACAATAGAGGAGGAGTTTTGTCCTATCAGGTAGAAGATACAGTGATGAGTGAAAGCGTGATTAACACCATATTTAACATTCATACAGCTTTAGAACGGCGGTTGATTATTAATGGAGTCGGGATCAGACAAAAGCAGCGAATGAAGGTCAGACTAATGATCCATGTCATCTGGAAGACGACGCCACGTAATCGGTCTGGTCACAGAACCTGACCTCGGGCCCCTTTCTGCTTTATCACTGTAGAGGACAACGGGCCAACCGTGCGAAAATCTGATAATGTAATTAAGAAGCTTTGCTAAAAGACCACAGGCACACAATTCTGCGATATAGTACAGGTCATCATGGGCTTACGTCGCTGTTCGACTTGTCTGTCCCCGTGATCTAATGTATCCTTGGTAACAGTTTTCTGTCATCCAATCAAGATGGCGCATCCACGTCACTAATTGATAGGATAGTTTTTTTTTACTTTTTGGATGAACATTATTCACTGGGAACAAATATGACAAAATGATTTATCATCCAAACTGGCTCCCACAGGAGATATCGCTTATTTGAGATCAAACATTGCAGACCATTGTGACGTCATTGATTACCATGACGTCACAATCAAATGACATGACTAATGGCTCTGCTACTGAAGCTGTTAGCAGTACTTTTTACACTTAAGACACTGCTTATAACTTTCTACAAACTGAAAAAGTTGGAAGAATGATGTTGGATGATAAATAAAATCTCACCCTCGTGTCTTTTGATATCAAATATATCAACACTCGTTGATAAAAGTGGAAAAAAGTCTTCGGCAAGCCTCGGATTTTTCCCACTTTTATCAACTAGTGTTGATATATTTGATTTCAAAAGACACTCGGATGAGATTCTCTATGTCAACTATTGCACAAATGTTAAAGGCCAGTCGCATGGCACCGGTCCCCTGACGCACGTGATGACCTAGGCTTCCTTTGTATTATTGGCTGTCCTGGTATGCCTTGCTATAGGATTTGTTCCATGTAAAGCAATGTGATTTGCTGATAAGTCAGTTTTAGGATATGTAATCTGTCAGTGGAATTTCGACAGACGCCAAGAAGTCTAATTAAACCATGTTGCCAAGTTTATTGAGATCCCACATCATTCCGCAATGCACAGTTAAATATATCGGACAATAGGATGTGAGAAACTGATAAACACAGAGTAAGTTACATTCAGTATTGGTTTGACAGTGGGCATTGTTTCGCGTACCAGTTGTGTTTATATCCCTCAAATGAATGCACAAATTGTCACATGCTAGCATTGATTCTTAACTGAACATTAATTGCTCTTTCACCAATCGACTGATGGTTTGAAACTTATGTCCCTCACAGAACAATGCATACGACGACGAAGACATCTACCTCTACGGCGGCATGACGTTCGCCACGGCTCAGACATGGCACATATCCATGGAAGACCTAACCTTAAAGGACAAGCTTCACACTGGAAGATTTGCACAAATGTATAAAGCTTCTCACAAATCCGGAAAAACAGCGAGCGAAGTGGCAGCAAAGGTTATCAGAGGTAATCACAGTAGTGTCACATTTAGAGTTTAGTGATCTAAGTGATGATTTCGGCATGAACAACTCAAGTCCGTCTGAGGGTCCACAACTGCTTATTTAGGCAGCATGTCTGTTAAGTCTCGGGTACATTAATAGTAGGTTCGAAGGTGAATGTTAAAAGCCCTTACCAGTACAGTAATTATTGCTTTGGCATGGCGACTGTCCACCACCCAACTACGCCGCTGACTCATCTGCAGGTATGATTAGGAGACAAAGGTTTCCCACTGACCAATGCATCAGTAGTGGGGGAAGCAATCTGCGTACTTAGTTGTGCAAGAAAAGGTTTCTCACTGACCAGTGCACAATTAGTGAGGGAAGCAATCTGCACAATTAGTGGGGCAAATCTGTCACCCCCTTACCCCTGATCGTAAACACATCAAAGCATTGATTTAATATTGTTTTGTTGTGAATAATCTGTTTCACACCTACATGTAACTAAACATATCTCGCTCTGCATATTCTTAGTGTTTGTCGTCATCTTCTTTACTAAATTGAAAGTAACTTAAAGGTTAGAGATACTACTTGTATAACGACAACTAATGTATTTTTACTCTACACTCCATTATCTTGCTTATCACGTGTAACTCACATTCACCTCTTTCGGAAATATCGTTATTGTCAATGTGTATATATAATGAAGGATGTGCTTTATACATCCTGGCCCGATGTGTTCTCAGATCTTCATGCTAAGAAGTATCTCTCCGATTTAAAGCTCTTATATTAATGACATTGTGGCGTTAAACAACAGCAAAATAGGAGAACTTCTTTAGACCAGACTTCATTAAATCAGAAATCCAGACCTCCAGATGAGTTATACTGACAGAAAACGTGTATAGTAGGGAGATTATTACTCACAAACGATTTATCAATCAGGAAATTCATTAACCAGGACGGTTTAACCCACAATGGCACTGTCAGGTTTGACGGGATTTAACTGCTCACCTTGAATACAGCTTTAATGATCGGTAACATTACAGATACACCAGATGAAGAAAACAAGTTGCTGATGATGGCCAAGATCAACTTTGCTGCAACACAGGTCGGAGAACATCGCAACGTGCTGAGATTTCTTGGCGCTGTAGTCAACAACGATGCACGTGAGTGTTATTTGTACGCATGAATGTAGCTGGAAATATGCGTTTAAAGTTGGAAAGAACTTACACAATTATACATGGTGTGTTCATGTTCCCCTCGACTGAGCCACCTTTTGGACAGAGAACCCGCTGGAACAGCGAAAGGTCGGTGATTCATTCCCTGGCCCTGTCCAACCCATCTTCCCGAGGTAAGAGAGTTAACTGACTTTAAAAGTCCAATTTCCACCCTTGCCAAACTGGGATGGAATTCCTGGGCTCGATCTTAGCGCCACCGGTGGCTATTACGAGTTATTGTTCCTTTTAAGCCACTCCCAAGGACCAATCAGATTCCACCCCTCGTATCACTTGCATTTGCTTCAAACAAAATGGCGGCGCCCAGTCAGGATGATCTGATCGATAATCAAGATCTATATTGTAATAAAACGGGTCTTACATCGTGAAATGCATCAAATCACGTCAGCACATTGATTAAAAGATTTGGAAAATATCTGTTGACAACGAGTTGGCGGTGCAAATCCTGCAATCGACCGAAATCTGCATCACAGTTTACGAACCGGATTTCGATTTCGTTACGCGATTTTTATTGGACAATGCATAGACTGGTTAGTACAGCCAAAATGTAACTCCATAATACCATCCTAGTTCGGCAAGGGTGGAAAGTGGACTTTTATTGTCAGTTAACTCTCTTTGCCTCGGGAAGATGTGTCCTACCAGAGTTTGAAAGATGTTAATTACTGTTACTTGTCTGGCGCTCGCCATGATGGGCATAAGAATGTAATGTCCATTTCAATGAGCTTGCACTGTAAGGTTGGACTACAAGCAGTATTACACAGACATGCACGCCGTTTAAAAAAACACGTAAGTGCAATAATCTTAAACGCTGCGATAAACCCCAATTCACCTTATAATCATCTCCTTACGGCCAGTTGGTTTCCGAGGCAGACTTGGTCCCCAACACCTCATGTTCAGGCGTATCGCTACCTTATCGTTGCTCGTGTTTGCTGGCAATCATGATATAGCTTGAATATCTTCCTTCTGCGTGAAACGTTCATTCAATCATTGTATGATCAAGTTGTTGTCATCTGGAATATCAATAAAGCAGGATTTACCCCTCCCTAGTCATTGTCCCTGGCCCTGGCTATCTGCTTCTTAATCTACCGTGTCTATTAACACGAGCTACATATCTTCTGTCGGTCGTCGCGAATGGCAAGATTGCTGATGAAGCGCGATACATCATTCACACGGTCACTCGATCACACGCTCCCCCACTCACTCTTTCAGGCGGCCCAATGATGGTCTTAGAGTACTGTGAAAATGGTCAGCTGGACACGTGGCTCAAGGACAATCGGGACAAAGTGGACATGGACGTTCTGGAGAGGATTCAGATGTTTGTCTTGGGTGTTGCCAGAGGAATGGAATTTCTGGCCAATAAAGAGGTATGTGTTTCCTTCAGATGCTTTCCTACCCAGAGATTCTTGCTTAGAACCCAGCGTATCTACCACATACCAGGCAGCTGCAGTGGTGAGGAATCGTTCCAACACAGATAATACTTGCAGTAATTAATTAGTTTCATCATAGACATTTATAACTATTCTGCACATTTGGATAATCATAACTTAGAGCAAAGATCATGACACATTTCGTTAGTTTACATGGGTTGTACGTCACAACAGGCACGTGTCAGATCCTGAGTCAACACAACAGCTTTTCGACTATTGTATCTGTGGGCCTGGTTGATATGGCAGAAAACCCCAAGGTGGTATTGGTGGGATTCATTTACCCATTTGTTGATATCCACGAACTCTGGCTTGTTGCTGACAGACTGAAGGTCATAATCAGGGCGAGACAAGGATTCGGTCCAACCATCAACGAATTCTGGAAAGTCTGGGGAACGGAACTCTGCACAGCAGGGACTCCAACCGCTATGTGTCACCCTTACCCCTTCCTCCAAAAAACATGTATATTTTATTGTGTAGATTGTTCACCGAAAACTGGCTGCACGGAACTGCCTGGTAACATTTTTATACGAGGTGAAGATCAGTGGATTTGGGCCGAGCTGCATGGACGACACCAACGACGATGACAACACCAACAATGCAAAAGCGGTAAGCCGACTACCATACCAATACTTTGGATTCCATTTTCATATTTGATTAATACCAACATCTACATTGAAATCCCACGGGCACGGAATTGGAATGAAACAAGATTAAATATCTTTGAAATAATATTATTAACAATTTTATCACCAATGATATGGTCCTTTGAAAGAGTGTGACTTTGTTCGAAATTACTTTGAAATCCCGTTATTTTAGAGTAATGTCTTTGTAACGCTGTGGGTGTATATGAGAATGAAAATGAGAATAAAGGATGAATGTTTGATTGGCATTCTAGAAATTGGTAAGTAAATTAAAAGTTAACAGATGTTATCCATTAATCTTCAGCCTGCTGAATTGTTTTAGCACAAGGCGCTGTAAATAGGGTGAACGATTTCAAACAGTCGGTGCTTCATTAACATGGGCCAATTGAAGATATATTTATTGGCAGATTGGCACATTTATTCCCGAAAGAAAACTACACATTACCTTGTAAAAGTATCCTGATGTTTTCAATCTTACCAAGGTTAAGTTAACAAAGCGAATAAAAAATGTGTAAACTTACTTGGTTTACGTTATTGAAAGTGGTTTGCTTTTCCAATCGTTAAATTTGTGCAAATATATTTCAATAATCATATCTCCGCTATCTTGATTTTAACTAAGTATAAATTCGATTTTTTAATTGGCAAATAACAGCGCGATGGTAAACTAAGAACCCTTTCAGTAATCGTATTATCCAAACGTTAAACAGAAAAAAACCTCAATTTCCGAGGTCGTCAAGTTAGTTGCAGACATTTAAGTGAGTGAGTGAGTGAGTGAGTTATGATTGAACGTCACATCGGCAATATTTCAGCCATATCGTGACGACAACTTGCAGAAATCTAACGTGTCACGTTATAAAATTTGCAGGAAACAATTAATGACAATAAATTTTCACCAATCCTAATTTCAAGTGTTTTGGTTGAAAATTTACTAAATACGAAAATACAAATCCCGTGTCATGATGCAAGCAGACGTTTGAAAATCAAACATGGCGCGCTTCGTCCACCCTCTGGATAACATTTTACTATTTTGATATCAACAAAACTTACGTTGCCTTCCTCAATATGCACCGGCGAATGTTGACGATCTTCTCAGTCGAAGAATGTTTCATTTGTCTTCGAAAATAACGATCGTGAATTCTGAGAGCAATATTTCAGTAAGTGCAAAGGTCACCAGATGTGATGTCACAGGCAGGGGTAGTCTGCTGATAACCTTTAGTTCCAAAGCACCGTGGATGTGATCGTGGATGATGACGTGTATTTGAACATAGAACTGAAAGTGGACATGAACGTGGATGTGGATATAATTGTGGACGTTGTTGTTGATATGGACGTCTCATAGAACATAGAACTGAAAGTGGACATGAACGTGGATGTGGATATAATTGTGGACGTTGTTGTTGATATTGACGTGGATAATTACGTCTCATAGAACATAGAACTGAAAGTGGACATGAACGTGGATGTGGATATAATTGTGGACGTTGTTGTTGATATGGACGTGGATAATTAAGTCTCATAGAACATGGAACTAAAAGTGGACGTGAACGTGGATGTGGATAAAATTGTTGACATTGTTGTTGATATGGACGTCTCATAGAACATATAACTGAAAGTGGACATGAACGTGGATGTGGATAAAAGTGTGGACGTTGTTGTTGATATGGACGTGGATAATTAAGTCTCATAGAACATGGAACTAAAAGTGGACGTGAACGTGGATGTGGATAAAATTGTTGACATTGTTGTTGATATGGACGTGGATAATTAAGTCTCATAGAACATAGAACTAAAAGTGGACATGAACGTGGATGTGGATATAATTGTGGACGTTGTTGTTGATATGGACGTCTCATAGAACATAGAACTGAAAGTGGACATGAACGTGGATGTGGATATAATTGTGGACGTTGTTGTTGATATTGACGTGGATAATTACGTCTCATAGAACATAGAACTGAAAGTGGACATGAACGTGGATGTGGATATAATTGTGGACGTTGTTGTTGATATGGACGTGGATAATTAAGTCTCATAGAACATGGAACTAAAAGTGGACGTGAACGTGGATGTGGATAAAATTGTGGACGTTGTTGTTGATATGGACGTGGATAATTACGTCTCATAGAACATAGAACTGAAACTGGACGTGAACGTGGATGTGGATAAAATTGTGGACGTTGTTGTTAATATGGACGTGGATAATTAAGTCTCATAGAACATGGAACTAAAAGTGGACGTGGAAATGGATGAGAATGAGGTTGCGGACGTGTGGATGTAGACGAGGGAGAGAATGAGGACAAGGACGAAAATTTGGATGTTGATGAGGTTGACTATGTGGGATTTTCTCCGTATTGTCACATTAATTCTTCACATTCGTAACAAATAATTATTGATAGCTTCTAAACAAGTCATGCTTACACTTCTCATTAAAATGAACTGCTGTTTCAGGATCGAATCCCTGTGAAGTGGACGGCTCCAGAGTGTCTTCAGTCTCTGAAGGAGGCCAACGAGAAGAGTGACATCTGGTCCTTTGGCATCACTATGTGGGAGATACTTAGCATGGGTAGGTATATCAAATAATATTGCAATACTGTTGGGAACTGTAAGCTGCTATGATCTCATGAAACCGTTTCTCGTGACAGTTGCAATATAGATCTTCATCTCAAGTATCAAAGATTAGAAATAATCATAACAGATAATTTTTTGCCAGCAAGAAAACAATTATATAGTGTTCGAGGAGAAATGGCCAACTCAACTTTTACCTGTACTCAATAATGTGTGTTACTGTATCTGTTTTTCTTGATCATGACTTTGTTTGAAAAATGTATTTGAATTGTGTGTAAGTATAAAACGTTTGTGTGTGTATATGACACATGTATGTACCTAACTAAATGAATAAAATAAAGTTGACAAAAATAATTCTATACATGAAGTTCCATGGATCATTGAAGATCAAGCAGAAATGGTTTGGGTCTGAGAAATAGAATTAAATGAAATTATACCTTACGAACTATCAATTTTTAGGGTTCTAATGATTCTGTTATGGAACCGTTTCGTAATGTTCTTGTCAAAGAAAGAAAAGATAATTATGTACCCAAGAAATACTTTTCTAATATACAACTCAACGACTAGACTCCACAGAACAGTGAAGATCCAGGGTAGAAGAGGTCTTCAGCAACCCATGCTTGCTGTAAAAGGCGACTGTGTTTGTAAGAGGCGACTAACGGGATCGGGCGATCAGGCTCGCTGACTTGGTTGATGCATGTCATCGTATTCCAATTGCTTGGATCGATGCTCATGATGTCAATCAGTGGATGGTCTAGAAAACTATGATACAATGGAAAAGGTACATCTAAATGCGTGTCAAAGATTTTAGGGGTAAATTCCAACACGCCAAATGTTACAGTTTATGGGGAATGTGGGACATGCCCAATGTATATATATTTAGTCACATAAAAATAATAAGATAATGGATAAAATTGTTTACAATGCCAAGCACCAGATTCCAAAAGAAATGCTATACCATGATGATGCGTTACGATAGTAGAGGTAAACATAACTGGGTCTCGGGTGTCAAAACGATTCTGCAATCTTGCGGGTGTAATTACACGTGGTACTTTTCAGTTAAATCATAACTCGTGTTTTAAATCTTTCATTCTTACTGAAAAATATCTTTTGGACATAAATGTTAAGAAATTCCTAACAGCACTACCCCGTTTCGGATGTAGTTCCAATGACTTTCTAACAGAAAAATGTAGATATTAAGCGATAAAAGAGAAAACATATTGTGCAAATATTGTACTTGTCATAATAAAGAAGATGAATACCATTTTTTGGTGGTCTGTCCATTGTATGCAAATATCAGAAAAAAAATACATACATACATATTTTATCTGAATCCTAGAATAGACAAATTTCATATGCTCATGTCATCTCAAAATCAAACAGTCACAAAATATCTTGCAATCTATATATACCATGCTATGATCCTTTGCATTACAGATGATATTTAGTTACGATATATGTAATTCCTATTGCACCCATTGCTACTATATGTATATATGTACTATAGGCCTATGTTCTTTTCAGTACTGAAATAATGATTGATTGATTGATTGAAGAATAGGCTTGACCATTTAGATCCGAGGTTTACTCGTTGAAATGGTCATCATGTTGATGAAAGTAGCTGTTCTTTATTTGGTTGGTTTGCTGTTTAACGCCGCACTCAGCATGATTCCAGCTATATGACGGCGGTCTGTAAATAATCGTGTCTTGATAAGACAATCCAGTGATTAATATCATGAGCATCGATCCACGCAATTGGGATCGATGACGTGCATCAACCAAGTTAGCGAGCCTGACCACCCGATCCTGTTAGTCGCCTTTTACGACAAGCAAGGGTTGCTGAAGATCTATTCTACCCCGGGTCTTCAAGGGTCTATTCTCTAGGTACTTATGGCGTAACGAAAGGATGAAATGGACGACAGCATTTGTATTAACATACTTTTATGTTTCACATAATGAACTTCATGCACTGATGTCAAATGCACACGTGGGTACGAATGTGCTTACTAAAAATGCAAACACACCTATCAATAAAATGATTTGTTAATTGTTAGAATTTATTAATTTATTTATTTGTTGTTATCCCCCGCCGCGCGAAAGCGCGAAGCGGGGGATATAGTATTCACGACCGTCCGTACGTACGTCCGTACGTCCCGTACGTCCGTACGTCCGTCCGAACGTCCCACCTGTTTGTTGCCGCGATATCTCAAGAACTAAACACTGGATTGTCTTCATATTTGGAACTATGGTGTATATACAGACTCCGCAGACACCAGTCGGTTTTGGTGACCTTGATCCCATTTTCAAGGTCACAGCAGGCAAATCTGCTTTTGGAGTTGGAAAACGGTGTTGCCGCGATATCTCAAGAACTAAACACTGGATTGTCTTCATATTTGGAACTATGGTGTATATACAGACACCGCAGACACCAGTCGGTTTTGGTGACCTTGACCCCATTTTCAAGGTCACAGCAGGTAAATCTGCTTTTGAGTTAGAAAACGGTGTTGCCGCGATATCTCAAGAACTAATCGCTGGATTGTCTTCATATTTGGAACTATAGTGTATATACAGACACCGCATACACCTGTCAGATTTGGTGACCTTGACCCCATTTTCAAGGTCACAGCAGGCAAATCTGTTTTTGGAGTTGGAAAACGGTGTTGCCACAATATCTCAAGAACTAATCGCTGGATTGTCTTCATATTTGGTACTATGGTGTACAGGCGGGGGATATTTCGTCACTCTGTGACAAATACTTGTTTAACGCCGCACTCAGCAATATTCCAGCTATATGACGGCGGTCTGTAAATTATCGAGTCTGGACCAGATAACCCAGTGATTGACATTATGAGCATCGGGATACGCAATTGGGATACGATGACATGAACCAACCAAGTCAGCTAGCCTGACCACTTGGTCCCGTCAGTCGCCTCTTTCAACAAGCATGGGTTGCTAAAGATCTATTCTACTCCGGATCATCACGGGGGTGTATGGTTAGAAACGACCTTTGTGTGCGCGACGTTCTGATGAGTTATTTACGATTCGACAATACTATTCGTGATACATCGATGTCTTTGAGGTTTAAATAATGTTTATCAATATCAGGTCAGACGCCATATCCTGACATTCGAAGCAGAGATCTACCTGCCAAAATCAGGAACGGTTACAGACTCCCCAGACCTGAGTATGCTGAAGACATGTAAGTGATTGATGACAACACTTGCAGGAATGAGTCAGAGTAAATATGTGTTTAAGGACTTGAGTTGAGTTTTTCGCCGCTTTAAACAGTATTTCAGTTATATCGCGACTTGTGACCTTTATATGGGAGAACGCCAAAAGTGATGCAAGTCTTCACACCTGTGTCCCAGCTATTTACGAAATGTTATGCTTCCAAATGCCCCTCAAAGAAGTTAAATGAAGTAAATTAAATTTTGTTGATATTATATTTAAACTCCCTCTCTCGACAAAGACCGCCCCCGTGGTGATGTGGATATGAGCATCTGTCCGAAGAGTGGAATGTCGGTGGTTCGATGCTCCTGAAGATGCATACCAAAAGACGTTTAAAGATAGATGTAACCTTGCCTGGCGCTTTGCATAATTAATGGGATAAAATAAGTGTCACCGGGAGTTAAACCCCAGCTCGTAGTGGTCCAGCTCGGAGGGAGCATCCCTCCTCTCCTCATGATCAGCCGCACGACTGAAGATCTTTGACTTTGTGTTCACTTGGGCAAGCGCTTGAGAATTTGTTGTCCGTAAATTTCAATCTCTAACAGTTTAATCTTATACTCTCATCATGTGTTGATTTTATATATGCTATCTCCCATGCGAGTACAAGCATATTCACATGTTGAACGTGTTTCATAATTTTGATGTTCACGCATTAGCGGGATTTCTCATATAGTTATAGTTAAGTTTGCCATCCTACTAATTGTACATATCTGGCTGTAACTGTTTAATGGTACGCGTGGGTAATACTGTGTATCAGTCCTTTATTTGTTTTTGTATTGGTTTTGTAGTTAGTTTCCCTACTGAAGAAAGCACAATTCTGTTCGCTTGAGGGGCTAGATGGCGTTCACGGGCAGCTTGCGATTATAGCTTTCTCCGAGGCCAGTCAAGCTTAAATAGCTCAGCGCTACTAATTGACTTTATCTCCAGGAATCGTAAGACCTTGACGGGTCGCTCAGTTACTGTGTGATCGGTCGAACTTAATTTCGACAGCAGGTGGTCACTGGGCAGTTTGGATCTTATACTGACTTACCCCTGTCGTGACTGCAAAACTTACAATCTAGGGTATCATATTTGAATAATGTACTCCTTGCTTTCCGTGAACAACTAATTTCTACTTTTCAGGATAATCTAGCTTAGGTCAAGTACCTTTTATTGTTGGAAGTAAAGTACCTGTAGGTCAAGTACTTGCATACTCTGGAAGTCAAATATTTCGTTTTTCGTCCAAGAGACGGTTTTAGGGACAGGCCCACAGTGCCAATTTGTCCAGATTTAGTCAAGCTTAGGTTGCCAACTCATTAGGAAGTGCACAGCAAAACTCCCGAGTGATCATTGGTCTCACACTTAATCTGGTTTCTATGTGTCTGGCTGATTGACTGGTCAGAGTGTTGTTTTACCCATCTTTTGTAATAGCTGGTACACGGCTGCTTAGTTAACGTGAATATCCGGGGTAGAATAGGTCTTCAGCAGCCCATACTTGCCGTTGAAGGCGACTATGCTTGTCGTAAAAGGCGACTAACAGGATCGGGTGGTCAGGCTCGCTGACTTGGTTGATACACGTCATCGATCCAAATTGCCTGGATTGATGCTCATGATGTCAATCACTGGATTGTCTGGTCCAGAGTCGATTATTTTACAGACCGCCGTCATATAGCTGATATATTGCTGATCGCGGCGTTAAACAACAAACAAACAAACAAAGCTTAGTTGACGAGCTTGCATATCCCTTCATTGTATTAGAGATCTTTGCCTGTGACAAAGGACGTTGTCACTTTATATTGTCTCTCGTTAATTATATCTAGCTGTTAATGATAAAACTGTGAACATTTACTACATTGTATATCATTTCTTTATTCACATTTATTAACACCCTGATCCAAGGCATTCAGCCCCCTGACAATTAGAAATAATAAAACTGTGAACATTTACTACATTTGGAATGTCCATTCTAAGAATTGCTTTAATCCCCCTTTGATCTACTCGGTCATACTTTTCTTTATTGATCAAAGTAAAAAAGACTTGACAAAATACACTAACCGTCATCTAAGTATTAATTATACTCCAAAGATATTTTAGTTATAAATAGTTTTATACTCGGACCTGCCATATTGTGCATTTTTTGGTTATATTTTCAGCCACTACAACATGATGGGCAGTTGTTGGGAGAAGAATCCTCAATCGAGACCTACCTTTGTAAAAATTGTGCAGAAACTGGAGGTGTCCTTCGGCTTAAGACCTACCTCTGAAGCTGTGTATTATTACTGCAAATAGCTGTCAAGTCACCAAGTTTAGAACGTGATAGAAGTGTCTGTGTTTCAAGTACATAATAAGAAATGATCAGCACATAATGTATAGTATCAGTCAGTCAGAGAACGTGATTTCAACGATGAGTTGTTGTTTTCATAGAGCTTTTATAACCTAAAGTATTTAAAAAATGTCAATAGTTTTGACTTTGTGTATGTTAAAACATAAAAAATCAATCAATGTACATACGTAAAGGTTTTTGTTATGTATGGTAGTCAGATCCAATTAGATTAATGTAATTGCATCCATCGAAGACAAGTGGTGACAATTGTCCTACCAGTAGGACGCCACTGTGACCTCCTTTCAAAGTGATGTATGCCACAATTTCGTTGTGACATCGAATAAATCATAGTCCAACTAAATATTCTTAACATATAACTTCTATATAAGGTAAAATTTACTTACACAAGAATGTTATGTGAATATAAGTTACTGCTTGATGCAACATTTATCTGATTGTGTGGTGTTTACGCCTCTTTGAATAGCATTCAGTCACAACATCATTTAAATTATGTCACTGCGTGTCAGGTTAATGTGGGAGGAAAGCCCGTAGCAATGCCAAAAAACTACTTTGGCGAATAACAAATGCTGACAAGTCAAAAGCGAAAATCAGGATGAAAATGGTAATCAAACCCACGTCCACAGTCATAGGATTCTGGCAACGCCAAAGGAACGCAACTCTTCACATGGTTGGGAGGGTGGGGTTAAAATGTGTAATGGTGGATTATAAAGTGTATGTGCCTGTTTTCCTGCTTTATTTTTTGCTTGCACGAATATGTGACATGGATAAGTATTAGCCATCAAAACGCACAATGAATAACTTGTGGATATATTTGCAGTCGTTAAGCAAGGTTTTTCATATTTAAGATGAAACTTAAAAAACGAGCTCTGTGATTAGGACAGTTGCTGATATGGTCCGAAATGGCTGATTTACTGTCGGATTTAATGGTGGAGGTTTTGTGCTCTTTAATTCTGGTTTTGAAGCCTAACAAACAGAATCCAAACCAGTGTCTACCGGAAGCCCACCCTAACCGACCAGTATATCCACTTCAACTCCAAACATCACCTTAGAACCAAGACTGGCATCATCTCCATCCTCATCAAACGAGCCATCAATCATCAAAGATCAAGCCTATTTCTTCCCATCCGCCTACTATGAACTCATCAAGCAATAATAACTTATCCTGTTTAATTGGCTTCATGCCCCTGTTGGCTTCCACATATGTGTTCTCTGTCCATCGTGTTGTGACAGTATTATCCCCTTGGTGTCAACACCTACCTATGTTATCCCACTCATATATGCAAATGTTGTTGCTTTTAATCCTCTACTGTTAATCCTCCACCTACTACATATATTCTGTACTATGTTCCTCATTCAGTCTTGCTTAACAACGGTATAAGGATGTATACCGAAACGTCGCTTTTTACAGTATTAAAGAAGTTGTAATCCATAAAATTGTGTTTACCTTGTCAAAAGGTTTCCAGCGTCATAATGAAGTACTGTAATACAATTTGGGTATCAAGTTGTTCAACGGATATAGGAATTTATCAATGAAAACAGTATGTTTCTGTTTACTTTCAAACCCTTTTCTAGATTTTACTTGAGATTAACTTTAATTGATGCTCGATGTTGTGCTCCTTATTATAATTTGTACTTTAAAAATAAAGATGTAGCATCACGAACTCAATCTTTTATCTTGAGACAGAAATAAGTCTCTGTAAATGGTTGCAAATGGTGGATCTCACTTTAATAATGCGTTTGTAATTTGAGGCTTGCAACATTTTTTGCATTTTTAATTATTGTTTTTATATCGCTGAGAAATATACACCAAGACACCAAAGTTTTGATTTACATCATATATTGCAACGATAGAAAATAGAAATGTTAACTCCAAACTATTTACATAGTTGCTATAAGTAAAGTGTACATTTAGAATAACCTGCCAAAATAAAACCCGCATTTGTATGTTACCATCAGTATCGATATTATCGATATTGTTGTCTAGACCTTCAGTTGTTACAGTTTGATCCCTCTTGCAAATCGTTGCCGAATGTCCCATAAATATAGACCCCAGTCAGACTAGTTTTGAGTCCCAAGTACGAAAGCCTATTAGTCCTGCTTTCGAAGCGGTGTCCTCCCATTAGTTAGACGTCCCAATAGTTAGACAGCTTATTACAACACTTTAAACGGTTGAGTGCACACTAATCCTTATGCTTGTTACCTCAGACTTTAAAATGGAATAGTCCAGATAAGATCTGACAAACAAAGCAAAGCAGCTTTAAATAGATACTTTAATATTATACTTGACATTTAATGGCACTTTACATTTGATACATTTTATACAGTTTGTAACAACACTTTGTGACAGTTTCTGGTAATGTGCACTTTACATTTAATAACGTTTACAGTTTATTTATCCCAGACGAAGCAAGTGTCCACAAGCATCGAAATACTCAATAGCAGATCATTTTCATTTGTTTGATAAGCAGATAATCATAACTCAACTCCTTCAACTGATCATACAGTAAGACAATTAAGCTACTCCACAGTTTACATAGTTAATCTCATGCCTATTGAACCTGTGCTGAGAGTTAGGTAATTTAAGTTAATTAAATGAAATTGTAACATATATACTCCCTAAACTATGAGTCCCCTATCCCTACTCAGTACTTTAATCTAATTAGGACTGATCCATTACACCTGTAGGTATATTCCCTCTTTGCCTAAAGAAAAATGTCTAACAATTGGGACGTCTAACTAATGGGACGTCTAACTAATGGGATATAACCTTCGAAGCATATTCATTTTTGTTAAATCGACCTTTCTCGCTATTCCAATCATGTTTTCTGGAAATTTCGATTTCGACGAGAAACTAATTGAAATAACAAGAAAATAATTGAAATAAAATAATGATTTAAAATAAACAAATTTATCCTTACAATGTGGCCATTGGGCTTTCGTATTAAATAATGATTAGTATCAGTTATAATAGCATTATTTACTTAATGAATGAACAATAGAAGTCTACTGTTGGATGTACCCATGTAACAATAGTTTGTCTTAGTGTCATTAAACAGGGAATATTTCATGAGTTTGGAACGGATAAAAGATCGATTTAAATGAAGGGTTGTCTGATCCCCCCCCTCCCCCCCCGCCCGATTATAATGGTCAGACAGGGTTGAACCAACGGGACTTGAAATTGTCTGCCTGTTAAAAGCTGTAATATAAAATGTGTCAAGCGGCCTCTCAGACCAAAAATGTGTAAATGCTTAAAAATGTCATGCTTCAAGGTAGTGTCATAAGCTTTCTCAAGATCGAAAAATATTAACTCTGCATGTTGTCTGTTGACAATAACATTTTTTCACAAAAGATTCTAATCATACTAAATGATCAATAGTACTTCGATTTCTTTCTGAAACCACATTGAATATTTATTATTAAATTATTGGTTTCTAAGTACCAAACTCATCTTCAAGATGGTTCAAGATACAGGGAGGTAATTTTAGAGATCTACAATGGCATTATGCCACAAAGGAGGACAAATCCCGGACGTCCATGTTTGGTCAAATATATCTTAAAGGGTTTCGAGACATGATTTAGGCAAATGCTTCAGGAGCTGACAGGAGCTGAAAGAAAATACTTCATTCTAGTCTTCCCCTTATCAGGGTTAAAATTAATACTTATCTTTTCCTCAAGTTTCTGATATATATTCAATTCTAGGACATAATTAGACGAGGACGAATGTTTAGCCAAAGTTTCACCAAGTTTATTGGCAATATCTGATTCATCAGTCAATAACTGATCACCTTCCTTATGATGATGAACAGAAGAATCTGATTCTTTGTCTTTGATTTTTTGTATCATGTTCCAGACCTTGGACATCAGAATGCGGCAATTGATTTTCGGGGCATAGTTACTCGATCTAAATTATGAACTGTAGGATGTCGGCGGAAGTACTTTTCCCTGTCTCACCAAGAGAGATGAACCTCCAATGTATTTGTCACCTGTAGGGGAATATGAATGATATCAACTACACAGCCTATTATCAAATTTATCTGTACTTCTAGGGTATGTTTCCTGAAGACACAAAGCAAGTAGCTAAAATGATAAATCCGACAGAACACATGTAGCATTGTAAAACATGATCTACAACAGTTAAATTTACTGTAAACAAAGTTTCAACCCTGAGCCTTAAATGCCTTCTCAGTTGAATGCCATACAATGTTTCCAATTGTTTCACAATAAAATGATCCAAACAAAATGTCACCATAAAAGAACCTTACATGCCAAAGTTATGTCAAAGCATAATAGTACATTGTGAGCAGAAATAGCTGCACAGTGGACATATATAACACATGGTAACTATATTGAAAATCGAACCTCCAGAATAAATTCAGAAGAAAGCATATGAAGATTCCGTTGTCACTGGGTAAGTGGTTGTACTGAGGAGATGTCGTTTATAGAACAAGAAAAAACACTTCTAGAGATAATACGAACATGGTCAAAATTCAAAGGTGAAATACAGGTCCAAACTTAACATTTTGCAAAACATAGAACATGTGTCTTGAGATCACATATATCAATATATTTTGAAAGCAAATGGCTAAGTAATGACCTTAAGAAATTTGAGCTTTCATTATGGTAGAATGGTAGATGTGCAGAGGTAAATCAAGGTGAAATATGAGATATCGTAAAACACATGTTGAACCCCACTTCTGTCTACACATATACCAAATATCATTACTTATTGAACAACACCTGGTGAGTTGTTCCGTATACAGGTTCTTCAATATGCCTGCCATGGCGGACCAAAAGAATTTGAATATTGATTTGAACACCTTGATCGATTATTATGATTGGTGTGGAACAAGTATGTGAAATTTAAGCTTAATTGCCCCAGAAGATGTTTACAATCTCAAGGCACCGACAACCAGGACGCGACTTATATTCAGGTGAGCTAAAACACATTGAATGCGCTAAAAAGAAGTCAAAATTAACTAAAACGCCTATTTTCTAGTACGACTGGAAACTGCCATCTCAAGGATAAGACAAATATTGCAGAAGGTCACGACATCAGTGGTAAAGATTTACAACATATGAAAACAAATAAAACTCTTCATATTTACCTCTCCTCCAAATAGGATATTTTCCTCCACAGGAACCTACTCCAGGTGTATAATCTAACATACTCCCACCATCAAAAGAGCTCGTGGGGTCTCCATTATTTCCAGAATCCTGAACATATGGCCATCGCAAGTTGAAGTCGGCAAAGGCACCCGTTGACAGAAACCAAGATTCAGGAGGGTTTGTTATCGGCAATGGATATTCCGATGGGTGTTGCATAAGTATCCAGTGGCCAAAAACCACCCGTTTGCTGCTGTGATGAAGCTCAGAAAAGCCAGGATGCATAAATTATCCAAAACATTATAATGGCACAGCCTTCGTTATTGACAATCATGATATTTCTTCAAAATACATTTAATTTTATATCCGAAGTAGGTGAATTTGAATTATATTATTTAAGAATTGAGTATTGGAGTATGAAGGTTCATACTCCAATGAACTCACACAAAGTGAAAGTCAATTCTTATAATTTTTTATCACAATTTCTTACCTCAAAGGATGTAGGCTAATATCTAAACACAATTTTTTTAGTACGTGTGACGTCATGTTTACACTGACAGCAATACAACAACCAGCTATATCGTGGAGTAAAATAGTTCCTCAAAAAGAGAGGTGACATGAGCGTATGGATGCACAACTTGCTCTTCAGAACATCTTACGCAGCACGTGTTCAAATCATATCCCCATTAGATGAAAAAGTTCTGTAAAGAACTACCTCAGTAAGTCAGTCACAATGACAGTGCGTCGTAATACATTTACTTCAAGTACTAGACGTCAAAATGGCCGACACGATAAACGTGACGGGAGAGATTTCCGAAGTTGTTAATGAACCTGTGGCGGTAAAGGTTCAAAATGATCGGAAAGAACGCTTATGTATGTTTTCGTGCTAGAGAATTCCCAGGGGTTTCCCCAGAAATTTGGAAGTATCCGTCAGTGATTACGTCATTTCAAGAACACGGTCTCGTGAAAAACGTATGAACGTCAAATTGTGTCGTTCATACACTTATGAACGTCAATTTCGCGGTCATGTGACCGACCTCTCGTCCAATGGAAAAGCCGTATATCGTGTAAACTTCAAATTAAAAAATTATAATATGGTGAGATAGATGAAGGACTGAAGAGCGAAAATGAATTAGTTGTCGTGATACAAGTTAGGGCCGTCTGCTAAACTCACATTCAATTTTAGTAAGAAGGCAACGACAAACGCTTAGAATGTGCAAAGCGAGATACGTAATTTACATGTCGGTTAGAAACAGCTTAATTCACAACAAAACTTAACTTGCCACACAAATAATATTAATTATAAATCAATGCTTTGATGTGTCTACTATCAGGGGTGGGGGATTGCCAACTAGTAATTTACTGGTCAAGGGGAAACTTTTAATTGCACCACTTCTTTCGCAGATTGCCTGTTGTATCGTTCGAATCGGGCTCAAAACTAAATGTATATTGCCAAATATGCAGAGAACTTGATAGGACATAGTTTACGATTTATCAGTTCGGAAAATACAAACTTATATTTACATCATTGTCTTTCC